CGTCCCCCGGCCAATTAAACCAGGAACCGCTCACGTTTCGGCAGTTTTTAATGCGCGGATCGCCTTCGCTCTGCCACGTGGCTTAATCTAAGCGGCTTCGCCGGGCCGCGTAAATTTAAATGGCTTCGGCTGGAATCGCCCGCCCCGGCGGCATAAATTTAAAGGGTCTGGGTTTAAATCGGTTGTTTTCGGCGTGAATCGACCGCTGGGCGGCTTAAATAGGAAGGATCTCGGCTTTTTACTCTGCCTGGGGTTTCTTTAAAGTTCACGTGCCTTCTCGGCTCCAACCGGCCGCTCCGCGGTTCAAATCCGACGGACGGCTCTTCGGCTTTCATCGACCGCTGGGCGGCTCTAATCGGCCGCTTTCGGCTTCAATTGGCCGCTGAGCGGTTTAAACATGAAAGGTCTCTGCTTTATGCCCTCCGCCTTTTGGCGTTTTTACTTTCACGTGCCTTCCTTGGCCCTGCTGCTTTAATTATTAAAGCGGTGGCTTTTGTCGCCCCTCCGGCCGGTTTACGGCTTGTATCGGCCGCTGGGCGGTTTAGTTCGCCACGGCCTCGGCTTTTAGTCAGCCATTTTTCAAGCAGTGAGATACAATCGACGGACCCGGCCGGAACTTGCAGGATCTCCGCGACCGGAGCCCGGTGAGCGCTCCAATCCTGATCATTCATCTGCGCCGGCCAGCTTCGACCATTGACGACGGTCCACAGTGTCTCTGGCCGCCAACTTACTGCGCGTGGTCGCGCATGGCCGCTCCGATCAAACTCGACTACCTTCAAAGCTCTACGACTGCTTGTCTGCGGTCTTGTAACCATGACGCCTCCTTAGATGTGCTTGCTCCATGTCGCCACTATACAACACATGCGACATCGGCGCGCGCTTCGCGCCCAGCCATTTGCTAGCCATAAATCGGAGCAGAGAAAGGGCTGGGCAGGGCGGGTATACACTACACCCCAAAACATCACCAAACCAAATCTTTTACGTTGCTCGGCCTTAAAGGGATATACGGCTCCAGAGTGTAAGTGGAGTTCCAAGTTTCAGCAGTGAGGCTTTGCGCTAGGGACGGCATAAACGAAAACTCACTCTCTTTCTACTTCTTCTTCTAGCAGTCTTATTGAACCGTAACGGCACCCTATCTTTCGCTGTCTCCCGCTCCCGGGTATGTTGATGCCACACACACGCACACAAGAAGCAGTCTGTCGTGAAATCGACTTGAGTGATGATCGAGACAACTAAGCCGGGGTATACCACAGGCTGAGAAGGTTTTATTTCTGGGCGCCACAACCTAAAACACTCTGAACATCAGCGGCCTTATATGCCAGAATTCCTCGTTGGTTTGGTATAATAAGGGATGCTAATAATAGGGGCATTAATAATTAGAATATGGCTTTGGGATCTACTACACTAGAATGGTAATTATGATAAGGAACCCCCAAAACCCTGTTAAGACCCCTACATTAGGAACCTCTAATGTGCCCACCCCCCAAGGGTCCAAGTACCTAATAATTAATCATATACTCTCCCACATAGTAACCTACATAACTAGTATCCGAAACCTAAGTACCTGATGATTGGGTCCTTAGGATTGGGGACCCCTAGCTCAAATCCTGTGAACCTGGTGTCCACATGCTGGGAGCTGGGACCTGGCACATCCTACTCAAAAAGCACCCAATATGTGTGTTGGGTTTAGGGTTTAGGGTTTAGGGTTTAGGGTTTAGGGGGTTAGGTTTAATTAGGGTTTAGGGTTTAGGTTTAATTAGGGTTTAGGGTTTAGGTTTCATTAGGGTTTAGGGTTTAGGTTTAGTTTGGGTTTACGGCTTAGGTTTAATTAGGGTTTAGGGTTTAGGTTTATACAATAATTACTGTTGTTCACAGTGTTTTCGGGGTTGTCACATAGTTGGCATAGCTGCTTGGGCCAATCCGGCAATTCCTGAGCCCTTGCGGTAAAACCTAAATGCCCGAGCCTCCTCCCATTGATCCCAAACCCCAAGCATGTGGCATCTAAAGTCTAGAAGGCCTCATTAAGCTCCAAATCCCAACTCTAAACTCAACGCGCTGAGCCCTAAAGTCGCCTAAAGTCTAAACCCTAAAACCTGCACCCTAACTGTTGATGATATGACTCCTGCATTGCCTTAGGACCCTAAACTATGGGAATTATGGCGCATTCCTTATTATGGGTAATGCAGGATTTATATCATCAACCGAACTAAAGGGGCAAAGCTTCGCTTTTTTTGATGTGGGTCGACCGCGTCCTTGTCGAGGCTCTCCACGCGCCCGACGGATACTTCAACAGAACGAGGTCAAAGGTTGAAACAACACATGGGCCCTTGATAGTTAGAATAGGGTTCTTCGGCTAAGGTGTATTTATAGTTCTTCTAGCTTGTTTTGGGGTGAGGGCTGAATAGGGCAAGGCGGAAAGGGGGGGTGACCCTGCCACAGAGAATCCAGGCAAGTCCACCCTAGACCCTAAACCCTAAACCGTGGCTAATCACCGAACTCTAAGACAGCGTCGTCTTGACGAGGAATCTGCCTTGGCCTTAAGGGTTAAGGGTTAAGGGTTTAGGGTTTAGGGTTTAGGGTTTAGGCGGTTTGGACATGGAATGGCTTAATGCTTCTGGGTCACCGGGCAGAATTTCAAGCTGTAAACTACGAATCTCTCGCACTTCCAAAACCCCAAACCCTAAACCCTGAACACTAAACCCTAAACCGTAAGCCGTGGCAGGCAAGAGTGAAACCCTTAAAAATCACACGCCTGTCAGATCCAGTGTAATATCAGGGCCTTGATAGTTCAGCTAGGATTGTGGGCTATAGTTTTAGTATCAGGATTATTAGAATAAGGAGCCCTAAGAAAGAGTACAACCACTTCGACCTCAGTGCCTCTCAACCATTTTACGTAGAAGCTGACTTGTAACATGACTGTTGGGATATCTCCTTCTGTGTTTTCTAGGGCCTCAGAACACGAACATGAAATACACTGCAAAGGTCTATAGATATCGCCCTAGACTGATGGAGTATCCGCGCTGGACCCGGATGAAACTTGGACGAGGGGGCTGATGTCGTCAGACCCTGCCGCTTGGGCACGGTTTCGGCATTTCGAAGGACTTCTTGCGTTGTTCATGGCAGCATGGTATAAGACTCTGCGTACATGCGTGTGTATGTGTGTGCATGCGTGTGCGTGTGCGTGTTTATGCGTGTCTTCTTGGTCTTGCAATGCTCTTGCAAGGATCAAGGCTTGGGGAGTGGCGCAGGTGCTGTTCCGGATCAGAAACCCCTAAACCCTAAACCCTAAAGCCTAAACCCTAAGCCCTAAACCCTAAACCCTAAACCCTAAACCCTAAACCCTAAACCCTAAAAATGGAAATCCCACGTCTGACTCCAAGCAGACCCCTGGCGCTCTTACCGGCTAGTCAAAAGCTTAAGAGCTTCATGAAGACCTGCTACGTTTCATACAGTATCAATACTTCATCCTGTGGGTTACCCTAAGGGTCCATGTACCCAAATAGTAGATACTTTGGCCAAAAAGTAGTCTCTATATAGGTACTTTGGAGCCAAAGTATATACTATTTGGGTACATGGACCCTTAGGGAATGCTTCA